TGAAAAACAAACTGAGGGTTCTAGTGGGAGGGGGGGTGGGGGAATGGGTTAGCCTGGTGATGGGTATTAAAGAGGGCATGTTCTGCATGGAGCACTGGGTGTTATTCACAAACAATGAATCATGGAACACTACATCAAAAACTAATGATGTAATATATGGTGATTAACATAACAATAAAAAATTAAAAAAAATTTTTCAATAAAGGACAATTCCATCTCTATTTTTTTTAAGATTTTTTTTTATTATTTATTCATTTGAGACACAGAGATAAAGAGAGAGAGAGAGAGAGCATGAGCAGGGAGAGAGGCAGAGGGAGAGGGAGAAGCAGGCTCACCGCTGAGCCAGGAGCCAGATGGGGGACTGGATCCCAGGACCCTGGGATCATGACCTGAGCTGAAGACAGACACTTAACCATCTGAGCCACCCAGGTGCCCTAGGACAATTCCATCTTTAGAAAAAAAAATTCTAGCAGTCTCTGAATTTTGACGTCTTCATAAATATTAACATGTTAATGCCTTCCAGAAAAGACAGATATAAACATGGGAGGACTTTTTGATTTTTATAAGTTTTTAATAGACATAAACACAAATTTGAAGAGGATTCAAAGCTAGATTATATGATAGTAGTAAATTTCTGAAGTAAAACTTGTATTTCGGTAACTAGTACTTCTGATGACACTGTATTTTGTCAGTATGAGAACTTCTTGGGTTTACCTTTCTGACTCTGATTAGAAAATTATTGTTTTAGTCAAAGCAGCAATGCTTTTCAAAACTTCTGTACATTCAGAATCTATTAGAGAAGAGCTAACAGGATCCAGAGTGATTGATTTGGTTGAAAATGTCAAGTCTGAAAAATTTCAAAGCATACATCATTTCATAAGCATGAATAATTTTTGCTACCTCAAGAGAGAAGAGAAACATGGCACTGGATTGTTCGTCACTGTGGAGCACAGACCACCCACAGGTAGACGGCCCTAGATATTCTTCTCTGACCTAGTTATTTCCATGATTGTCCTATTTATTGTATTTAGCTGACTACAGGAAATAACAATTCTATTCATTTCTCTTAGTTATTCCTTTCTGTTGCTTTTGCTAAGGATATTCTCACCATTTTTGTGTAGAAGCATAAAACAACTGATATAACAGAATAACACTTTTTAATGTTTTGAATTTTTGTTATCTGGTTTATGATTCCTTCTACTCACATATTTTGCCACAGAAGATAATTGTATTTTAATATTTAGTGTTTATTTTGAAATCATGCCACTTTTTCTCTTAGCTGCTACCACACTCTCTGCTGTCATTGCAATACTTTAAAATCTTTAATGAAGTATAAAATATTTGGTTTTTTGTTACAGTTGTTGCTGTTGTTTTCAGTTCTTTGTCTTTAGTCAAAAATTAAAGAATAGAATTTAAATAAAAATTAATGTGTAGATTGGGGTGCCTGGGTGGCTCAGTTGGTTAGGCGTCTGCCTTCGGCTCAGGTCATGATCTCATGGTCCTGGGATCAAGCCCGCACTGGGCTCCCTGCTCAGAGGGGAGTCTCCTTCTCCCTCTCCTGCTGCCCCTCCCTCTGGCTCATGTTCTCTCATTCTCTTCCTCTCTCTCAAGTGAATAAATAAAATCTTTATAAAAAATAATGTGTAGACTTTTTTATATCTCTCCCAGGTTAAATTAAAACAAAACAAAACAAACCCAAAAAACAAAACAGAACTAGTTCCATTTTACTTTGCACCTCTCAATTACTCCCTCCTATGTGTCAGGGAAGTCCTCAATGGAAAAGCTGGTGCACACAAGTGAATAGTTCAAGTACATAGGTTCCTTCTCATTTGATATTTTCCAAAGGGACTGGTCAGATGTAACTTAATCCTTGTATTTGGACATAAATTAAACATAGTACCACAGTTGGTTGACTGGATGATTGTCTAGTGTGACAGAATACATAAAATAAGAAAGGTTCATTGTAGAAACAAGAAGGTGTGGAAAGAAATGGCTTGACATTTTATCATATCATTGTATATTGATTTGTGTCTTAGAAAAATTCAATGTGCTTTCTTGCAGCTGTGATTTTTCAGTTTGCTTAAAGGTAAAAAGGAAAGACTTTCAGGAAGGACCTGATTCAGAGGCATCTTTTGAAGACAATAGATACATTTTTATTATCACCTGTCAAACCATGAGAACACTGATTTCTGTAATTATTGATTTTTAATGCAGAAGCCAAAATAAATTGGTATAATGATGCTGTGTTGAGGACTAGCTTTGTGAAAAAAGAAAAAAAACCCCTCTTCTTACGTGTTAAAATGCTTGAATCTATTGATGTGCTATTTAAAGAAAGATAATTAAAGAGCTCTTTAATTAAAATTGCCATTGAGGCAATATTGCTATTTTCCAATAATGTAAACTGGTGTTTTTGTAACTCTCACATCGTTCTGGTATATACACAAACAAAAAGTCAAAGTCTAGCTCACACCATCTCAAACCAGCATGATCATCCCCCGGCCTCTCCTAAATGAAAAATATGTTCATTAATATAACCAATTGAGTAATATCCCTGTTTTAAGATGATATCAGTGAATCACACATAACTACTAGGTAGCTTAAAAATTTAAATGAATAATATGAATTCTCTCATTTTTCCAGTGTGATGATTATTAATATTATGTGATCATTTATTTAATCAGGCTTTTAAAATCATAAATCCATGGTTATTTATATTGTAATGGTATTAGCAAACTCAAAAATTATATTAATAAGGCACTGCTTTAAATCCCATTTTAATAGGAACAAAATTGTTATCCAAAACCATTCTGACAGAAGAGCTTTTAACAAGGTTTTCTTTCTTTTTTTTTTTTTAGTTTTTGCTGTAGTGTTCCATGATTCATTGTTTGCATATAACATCCAGTACTCCATTGAATACATGCCCTCCTTAATACCCATCACCAGGCTAACCCATCCCCCCACCCCCTCCCCTCTAGAACCCTCAGTTTGCTCTCAGGGTCCATGGTCTGTTTTCTTAAGAAATCCATTTGAAAGTACAGCTTAACTTTTCAGAGATATCATATAAACTATAATTGTTTCAATTTAAGACCTATAAGCCAACAGTGTATGCTGGACATCTGGGTGAGGAGTGAGAAATGTGCATGATGGGCCTTCACTGAGGAAAATTTTATATATATATATATATATATATATATATATATAAGAGATGAGTCCAGTGAGGTCCTCATGAGAGTCAGAAATAAATCACTGTGGGATTCAAAGTAGAGAAGGTCACATACTTGGGCAACAGGGAAATACAGTTCATCAGAAGGTAACATTTGATTGTTCCATGACCATTAATCATGGAATACTACATCAAAAACTAATGATGTAATGTATGGTTATTAACATAACATAATAAAATAAACAAAACAAAACAACAACAACAACAAAAGAAGGTAACATTTGAAAAGGGCTTTACTCTATCAGTAAAGTTTTGCCAGATGCAGATGAATGAAATGATTAAGGAAATATTTCATGCCAGAAATGTTTCCTCTAACAAATTTGCTGGTATCTTGGTGGTATTCACATGTGCTTCTAAAAACAGAATCCTCTCTTCATATGAGTCTTCTGTGGAAGCCCTCTGCATGAAATTGGCCAAAGAAATTAGCTCCACTTGAGAAAGGTGGGAAGTTAAAGGTCTGGATTCTCCAGCTTTATTCTTTCACTATTTTACACCACTAACTCCTTAATGTCTCAATGTATATATGCTGTAGTTTTAAACAGGACATTCTGTATTATAATGTTATCATTGGAAAGCATAATAATTGCTGTTTTTTTAAAGACTTATTTATTTTTGAGGTGGGGGGGCACAGAAGGAGAGAATCTTCAAGCAGACTCCCCACTGAGCACAGAGTGTGGCATGGGACTTGATCTCACAAACCTGAGATCATGACCTGAGCTGAAAACAAGTCAGATAATTAACCGATTAAGCCACCCAGGCACCCCAACGATTACTATTTTAATAAGAGAAATTATGGAAACTAAACCTAAAAGGAATCATCTTGGATCACAGGAATATGTGTTTGATAGAACCCTCAGTATGGTACTTTTCAAGGAGAAGGAAAGGGGCAACTACATAGAGGATTCTCATTAAAATCTCCAGAAAGGATAAAATTTTAACATTAATAAAAGGGGACTTTTAAAAATAAGAAATATTTGATGTAGAATATAAGATAACTGTAAGGAGGGTAGTGGGAAATGTGACAGAGATTGTAGTCTGGGCTCATGTTCCAAAATCCTTGAATGCCAGACTGGCACATATGGTTGGTTGTACAGGTTGTATCCTGCATAACCCAAGGGGTTGTCATTCACACTGAATATATGTACCACCTGAACAGCTGTGTATGATGGACTTAATTTGGATAACAATTGAGCGAGCCTTTGAATTGTTTATAAGTCTAAGAATGGTATGATTTTTGTTGAAATGTAAGGACATTAATCTTATATTTTGTAAAATGGTTCAAATTCCAGAAACATAAATATATAATATGCCAAATTTGATCATCTCTTAGAGGAATGAATTGAGGTTGTAACTTGTTTCAGGGGGAGAGGGCAAAGGAAAAATGAATCTAAAACTTGTCAAAAATTTTTTATTTAAATTCAATTTAGTTAACATATAGTTTATTATTAGTTTCAGGGGTAGAATTTAGTGATTCATCAGTTGCATATAACACCCAGTGCTCATTACATCAAGTATCCTTCTTAACGCCCATCATCCAGTTACCCCATCCCCCACCGATCACCCCTCTAGCACCCCTCAATTTGTTACTCTAAACCATTTTTTTAAGTGACCAGGGGAATTGTTGTATCCTAATAGAAATAGGAAGATCATGTCTGTAGTGATTGGGTCAGGGTAAGAGTAGAAATAGTTCTTTTTTGAATATTTCAAATTATTGTGAATGATTTTGTCATACTAAATGGACAGTTTGCTGTATTTTTCTTTTTCTCTTCTCTTTCAGGCTGAAGTCATTGATGTGGGTTATGGAAATGCAGATGATTTAAAAAGGATTCAAAAAATGAAAAATACAACGAATCAGATTGCACTCCTGAAATTAGGAAAATTGCCATTACTTTATAAGGTTGGTCCAATGCTGTTTGTTGGTGGTAGGGTGGTATATATATATATATATATATATATATATTTAGTGACATGCCTCTGTGAGTGGAGAGAAAGAGAGAGAGACCTGGAAGAAGGGAAAAAGAGAGGCACAAAGAGTCAGAGAATGTCACATGAGATGACTTTACCAAAAGAGAACATTTTAAATTAAAATCTTTAAGAGAAAAATTAATGTGTACTATCACATTAGTCTTCATAATAACCATATTATTGAAGTAGGGACGATTATTATATTCAATTTATAGATAAGTATCATTAGTGCATAAGGAAAGAAAGGAAACAGAGTTCACTCCTTCTGCAATAACAGACTGGAGCTGGTGGAGGGCAGGAAGATGAAATTTTAAATCAAGGGTAGAGTTTTGATCACGATGTAAGATGATGTATTCTAATTATTTAAGACACATGACTCAAATTGATTAGAGGACTTTAAAAATTACCAATAATCAGAAGAAGTCTTCTTCTAGGTGTTTGGGGATCCTCTCCAGATATGTTCTGAATGGGCAATGAGAAACAGAGCAGCATTGTTTGTGGTACTTGAATTCTGCTTGTTCAGTCTTCCAGGGATATACGTTGACTAAAATGTTTGTGGGAGGGGCCAATTATGTAAATTGGATTGGTGAAATTATGAATGATTAAAAATTCAAGTTACATAAGACATTCAAAAACTTTTGTAACAGAATTTATAGGTCAAATACTCCAAATCCTTACCAGTAGATTATGAGTTAAAGCAAGTTTCTTTATATTTGACTGCTCCAGGGAATATTTATATTATGAAACCATTTGGCCATATCTACGAATTAATGTTCTTATTACTTAAGACAGAAGATACTTTAAGCCGGATATTGGAGTTTGTGGGACCTTGATAAAATTGGCATACTCTTTATAATAATACCAATGTAGAATGCTAGAAATGAGAACCAGAGTTTCCTCTTATGACATAGGACATATGTGAAACTTCTTTTATCAAAACTGACTAATTACTGTATGCTTTGTGTTAGACCAGTATCTAGCAGATTTATTCTCCTTAGTGATTGATTTTGTCAACTGTATAACTTCACAGTTACTGACTGTACTCAAGAATTTAATTAAAATAGGGCGCCTGGGTGGCTCAGATGGATAAGCGTCTCCCTTCGGCTCAGGTCATGATCCCGGGGTCCTGGGATCGAGTGCCGCATCGGGCTCCCTGCTCCTTGGGAGCCTGCTTCTCCCTCTGCTTCTCTCTCTCTCTCTCTGTCATGAATAAATAAATAAAATCTTTAAAAAAAGAGTTTAAAAAAAGAATTTAATTAAAATATAATATGCTAAGGAGAAACAGAATTTTGATCTATTTTATTTAAATAGAAGTTTATTAACACTCATCCTCTAGATACATTTACATAATTAAAGCAGCTCAATCTAAGTATCTCATAATGAACCACCATGATAGACAGCTACTACTGCTCATTCTTACTTCATTTTCTTTTTCTATTAAAAAAGAATGGTCAGGGGCATGTGGATGGCGCAGTCAGTAAGCGTCTGACTCTTGGCTTCCTCCCAGGTCCTGATTTCAGGGTTGTGAGCTTGAGCCCCGCATTGAGCTCCCAGCTCAGCATGGAACCTGCTTAAGACTCCCTGTCCCTCTTCCCCCTCTCCCCGCTCTCTCTTGCACACACACAATATGTCTCTCTAAAATAAAGAAATCTTAAAAAAAAAAAGAAAAGAAAAGAATGGTTATTGGAGTTGTGTCACTGGAACTGTCTGGTTCTTAAGATATATTGGATTTCTCCTCATCCAACACTTAAAGATCTTTGCTTCCCAGGCCAAAAAATTTTCCAGAAATCTGTTTGCATACACTGTAAGGACACAAGAGAACATCCTGTGTCTGTTATTCATTACCTTCCATGGATGCCCTTATACTTAAATCAATCTCTGATAATAGATAATTAGAATTTTAAGGTAGTCTTAAAAATACATTATATTTGAGATATATGAAATATGTGTATCAATGTGCTATAAATTTTTAGCAGTGTAATTTGTCAGTGTATATTAAATCACTTAATCATATTTTGATCCAGTAATTCCAGTTCAACCAGTATATTATAAAGAGGGAAAAACAGAGATGATAAACATCATCATCATCAATGATGTGACAAATTCTGGAATGATATGTAGGTCCAGTTTAGTACTGAAAATGATGCTATTTGTATGGCTGAATACTATACAATTACAATGTAAAGAAGAATATTGAGGAGCACCTGGGTGGCTCAGTCGGTTAAGCTTCTGCCTTCAGCTCAGATCATGATCCCAGGGTCCTGGGATCGAGTCCTGCGTTGGGGGTCCCTGCTCAGTGGGGAGTCTGCTTCTCCCTCTGCCTGCCGCTTCCCCTGCTTGTGTGCACACTCTCTCTCTCTGTGTGTCAAATAAAATTTTTTTAAAAAAAGAATATTGAACAGCATGTGAAAATCCTCATAAGTCAAACAAGTTATAGAGTAGACATTTATAATAATTATCATAATAATGATTGTATTATTGTTACTTCTAAAGATAACATGTTAGTAATATGGGATAAATACTTTTCAAAGTGTTATTTTAAATGTATTGTCACATTAATCTTCACAATAATCATGTTGTTGGGTAGGGACCATTATTATCTTCAGTTCACAGGAGAGGTAACTAAGGCAGAAAACGAGTAAGCGACTGGCTCAAAGACGACCGGACAGTGAAATGAAACAATCAGGATTTATACCCAGGCAGTCCCACCTCACATCCTGAGTCTTTAATGTGTAAGTGTATATGTGTAGTTAGAGTAGATTGGTAGATAGATATAGCTAGCTAGCTAATCAAGATGATAAATTGGAATTTTTAACTGAGACTCTAATATATCCAAGAGTGTGTATTTCAATATGAACTACCCAACACCAGTATTTCAAAGGAAATAATTAAAAACATGTTAGAGTGTTGTTGAGCCTCTTACATCTGGTATATAAAAGATTTGGAGGATGGGGCAGGGAGAAGATTTTATGAATATAAATTTTGGAGAAATTTATTTTTTTAGGATTTTATTTATTTATTGAGAGAGAGAGAGAGAGAGAGAGCATGAGCAGGGAGAGAGGGAGAAACAGACTCCTTACTGAGCAGGAAACCCAGCCCAGGGCTTGATCCCAGGACCCTGAGATTATGACCTGAGCTGCAGGCAGATGCATAACTGACTGAGCCAACCAGGCACCCCTGGAGAAATTTCTTTAGTTTCATTGTAAGCCAATGAGCAGAAAAGGAGTATCTGTGTTGGGATTGGCCTATGTCTTCAGAGCTGGGAGCAGAAAAATATATGTGTGTTTATATATTTGTGTAATATCTATGTCTCTCTATATTTATAGATAGATACAGTTATATATACATACACACAATATTTGCCAGAGACCTAGAAACAGTATCTATAATTGGCTCTTTAGGAAAATACAAAGTAGCTGCCTGCCTAGTCCTTCTGGTCTAGAGAATGCACTAATGTTTATTGTGACTCTTGAAAAGGTAGAATGCAGTAGTAGAGAGGTAACACAAATTCATACCGATCTGAAAACTCTCCAAAAAGAAAAACTAATTTATATTAGGTATATTTTCTAATGAAACAAAAGAGTATAAGTAATTACATGTTTTTGTTAAGCTACTTGATTTTAGGTCTAGTCAAATCTGTAGTTCTTTGGTCTGGGCTAGACTAGTGGGAGTGGATTATTTCTCCTGGCCAAGAAATGGTTTGTCTGCCCACACCCGCCAACCCCCTTGTTCTGATGCACCTTCCTTTGACCCAAAAAGGCTCACAGCTCTCCAGTGTTATTTACTCCAGCCTCTAGGGGCCAATCATATAAATCGGGTCAATGGAATTATGGATGATTTCTACTTCTTTATATTTTCCCATTGTTAGTAATATGAGCTAGATATTTTTCTAAGCATTTTTGTGTACTATCACATTAGTCTTCATAATAACCATATTATTGAAGTAGGGACGATTATTATATTCAATTTATAGATAAGTATCATTAGTGCATAAGGAAAGAAAGGAAACAGAGTTCACTCCTTCTGCAATAACAGACTGGAGCTGGTGGAGGGCAGGAAGATGAAATTTTAAATCAAGGGTAGAGTTTTGATCACGATGTAAGATGATGTATTCTAATTATTTAAGACACATGACTCAAATTGATTAGAGGACTTTAAAAATTACCAATAATCAGAAGAAGTCTTCTTCTAGGTGTTTGGGGATCCTCTCCAGATATGTTCTGAATGGGCAATGAGAAACAGAGCAGCATTGTTTGTGGTACTTGAATTCTGCTTGTTCAGTCTTCCAGGGATATACGTTGACTAAAATGTTTGTGGGAGGGGCCAATTATGTAAATTGGATTGGTGAAATTATGAATGATTAAAAATTCAAGTTACATAAGACATTCAAAAACTTTTGTAACAGAATTTATAGGTCAAATACTCCAAATCCTTACCAGTAGATTATGAGTTAAAGCAAGTTTCTTTATATTTGACTGCTCCAGGGAATATTTATATTATGAAACCATTTGGCCATATCTACGAAGCAATGAATTAGTGGTTTATCTCGAATAGAACACAATTATTAAAAACCTGGTGTATTTCCCCTCATCATCTTATTTATAGGCCCATGAGTAGATTTAACAAAGAGATCTATGCAGAATCCTCCTCCAGACAGAGCCTTGCCACAAACAGTATTATCTTCGAGGTGGAGGAGAAAAGGAATCCTTGCTTTAACTTTTTAAATTCCACTCTAGCCATCTCTGTGTTCTATAGATTATCCCAGATATTTTGGGGGAATCGTTGATAATACATTTATTAATACACATTCACATAGTGAAGAAAAAAGAAGCAAGGACTAGATAAGGTTGTACAGCATGGTAACAGTTCAGTGTGTTTAACTGGTCTATCAAGTATATTCTGGGCTGACACCAGGAAGCGAGGTAATGTAGT